CTAGGCATGCAAATCTGCTTCGACCTGCGCTTCCCCGAACCCGGTCTCGCCCTCCGCGCGCGGGGCGCAGAAGTCCTGCTCTACCCCGCCGCCTTCACGACGCCGACTGGAAAAGCCGGACATTGGGAGATTCTCATCAGAGCCCGTGCGATCGAGACGCAGAGTTATATCATCGCTGCGGCGCAGGTGGGTGTGCATGATGAGGAGGGCAAGAGAAGGAGTTGGGGTCATAGTATGATTGTGGATCCGTGGGGGAAGATTGTGGCGGAGTTGGGGGGTGATGAGGGGGAGGGGGGGAGTTGGAAGGATGAGGGTGAGATTGCGTGTGCGGAGATTGATGTTGAGTTTGTGAGGAGTATGAGGAATGATTCGCCGTTGAAGAGGCGGACGGATGTTTATAATGAGTTAGTTTAGGGTTTGGGTTGTCTTTCGCGATGGAGTGGGAGATGATATCTTTGCATTGTTTTCGTATTGCATCATGAGGAGTAACCAAAATCGAAAAGTTCGCTAGAAATGCCATTGTACATGTCGTTCAAGTCAAGTCCGATCCAAAAGACGAACGAAACACCTCGTCCTACCGACCATCGACGCCCCCCACATCCTTTCCTTCCAATAACCTTGCCTTCCCCGCTAAACTCAAATACGCCAACTCATGCTTCGCACTCTCAAGCTGCCGCTCAACCCTCGGCCTAACATCCCCCAACTCACACGCCATACACTCCGCCAACCTCTCCAACATCGTCGTAAACAAACTCCTCCCACTCCCCTCCTCCCTCTGCGGCCCTTGCGTCCTAGGCGGTTCAAACTCGCCCTTCGCTGTCCCCCAACAAGGCCAATCCCAATCATGCGTGCCATGGTCATGGTAGAAGTTCAGTAAAGTGGTCTCTGCATTCGAGGTATCGTGGTGCAGTAGTGTGTCTGAGATGAACTCCGGACCGAGACATAGCGCAGCTTCTGCGAAGCAGAATTCGAGTTCGCTGCGTAGTTCGACTTGGTTTGCGTCCATGAAGCGGCCGTAGGTGCGTTGGTTTATCCAGCCTGAGCCGTGGTAGCGGGCGGAGAGGGTGGCGTGGTGGAGGACGAGGTAGATAGCGGTTAGGGGGTCGCGGGGCAGTGATTTGATGTAGGTTAGGCGGTCTGCGTGGTCTTCTAGAGGGGGTTAGTTAAGCTGTGTTAGAGAGGGGTTGGAGGGTGGACTGACCGATTGATGTGAGGCGGTATAATAGCAGTAGTCCTGCATTTGCGAGGGGGATGTTGTGTTGTAGAACAGCGTTGAAGTTATGCTCAGAGCAGAGGGCGTCCATAACGTCATCGACAATATCGTAGTTGTGAACGCAATCGGCCAGCCAGTCGACATTCAGCCGACCATCTCCACACTTGAAGTCGGTCTCCGCGTGCCGGAGCTCTTTCTTCATGAAGCTGCCAGTAATTGACCGTTCGTAGTTCCTGAAGATGGCACGAAGTCTGGGATGTGCGCTCCGAATAGTGGTAATGAGCGAACCATCGTTGAAAGGCAGGTGCTGGATAGTCTTAAGGACCAGCTCTGGAGGGATTCGCGGAGAGATGAGAAAGTTTAGGTACGTCGATGGATCGGAGAAGGTAGCCATGCTAAGCTGTGAAGTTTATGATGTGCTGAATAAGAGAGTGATTGTGTGGTGTTGTGTGCTGGGGAGATGAGGTAGGAAACCTAGAGTTGATCGATGCGGTCGCGACTTATACTTCTGGGGTAGCTGCAGTCCAGACTGTACTTTCTGTATACGTCTTTGAGGGAGTAAACGGCGCGGATTCAGCCTCGGTACATCGTCCCCGCGACAGCTATATAGTCAAACCGTGAAGACCATGATGGGTGACGATTAGCACCATGATGGCGAATCATCCTCAGGATGAGCACGCGTCAGGAGCAAAGTAACGTCACCACGTGGAGTTGCGATTGCGCAGTCTGACAAGAGTTTGTCGCGTGCTTCACAGTGGAGTCGAAGCCTGATGCGATTGCCTGTTCGCATCCGTGCGTGTGCAGACGCTGGGACTCGAGGCATGGAATGTAGACTGATCGCTGCAGACAGGCGCTAGGTCAGGCCCCGCTGATGATATGCCGATGGGAGCGTGGGGGCTAATGCAGGTGATGGGTGCGATTGCGCAATAGGTCCGAAGTGCAGAACACGCGGGGTGCGAGGGGCTGCGGGAGGAAGGCATGTCGAGGTCGGGAGTAGTCATCACGAGCTCCTGCCACCCCACCGACCAGGCAGCGATCCGCATGGCATAAAGCATGAGAGCAATTCGCAGATAGTAGCTCAATTATGAATGTGTTCATAGATATGACAGCCTCAATGCGCCGTGACCCTGGGTATCGTGTAGACTCCGCAAATGCAACATTACATGTCGTGAGATAGCTTCCTACTGCAGTTCTATGCCTTCCCGCTCAGCTGCCTGCAGTATGAAGCTCCTAGTCTTCGCATCTGGCGCGAGATCGAGCGGTACATGGCCATCGGTATCCTTCTTGTCGTGTTCCGCGCCCATGGTGAGCAGCAGCAGCGCCGCGTCACCATGCCCCTCGCTCATCGCATGGTGCAGCGCTGTCATGCCATCCATGTCCGTCGCGTTCAAAGGGCTCTTTGCATCTAATAGCGCCTTCATCATCGGCACGCTGCCCACCGCCGCTGCCCGATGCAGTGGAAGCTGGCCTCTCTTGTCTTTTATCCGTGCTGACGCTGGCGGCTTCTGTGCGAGCAATGTGCGTGCGATATCGAGATTCACTTTCGATGCGCAAAAATGTAACGCGGTCTGGCCGTTGTTGTTCTTCGCGTTCACGTCGGCATCTTTAGAAAGCAGCAGGTCTACTATTGGCTCTGCGTCTTTCCGCGAGCATGCCATCATAAGTGGCGTCCAGCCTGAGCCATCGGTGACATCGGCGTCGAACGACTTGCTTTGTACGAGTGTTTGAACGATGGCGAGGTGATTGTAGGATACTGCCCAGTGTATTGGGAGGCGTTCGTCTGGGTCGCGGAGGTTTGCGAGCTTGGGGTTGGCGGCGAGGAGGGAGTCGACTCGGGATGCTGCGGTTTGTTAGGCGTGATCTGCTAGAAGAGGGTGACGTACGCACTTTGACCTTCCCGACAGGCCTCGTGTATAGCGTACTTCGCCTTGTATTCCTCCATGGTGTTGCGGATGATGGCTAACGTTGACGCGTGTGTTAGGCAGTTCGCAGCTCGGCTCCCAAAAGTTAACCCCGCTATGGCCGAGGCGTGGAGATCGCCGCATGATGCCGCGCCCGGGCGGCATGACGTAATCATTTGGCTACTTTCATTCTCAGAACGCGTCTTGTCAACAAATTACATGCCCCATTCACATTCCGCACAAGTAGCTTTCAGAATGTATGTTTCCAATTTATCCTTATTTCGTATCATGTATTCACCCTCGTGTCCTCCAATTCTGTACTTAGAAAAGAGGGAAAGCAGCACGCACTCAACAGTCATCTCTTCCGCCTCACAGGTGGCACCCTCATCTCCTCTTCCATGTTATCACGCTCCTGGTCGGATACAGTCCCGTCTTATGACTGTGAAGGCTCCGGCATAGATGCCTGAGAATCTGGCCAATCCCAGAGGAACCATCTGCCTACTACATCTCATTCATGTCCGCCGAATGGGGATGTGAGGATGTGTTGTCGTCTGCACGCAGAGCAGTGTGTCTGCTGAGCACATGGACGTGTGGTCTTTGCCCATCGCTACTAAGGCTTGTTGAGATTGCACGGCCCTTAATCCAGCACTCATAGACAGCTGCATGGGTTATCGGAAGATTGTCCCAGCGAGTAAAGACGAGTGTCAGATGCTCCAAGTTCTTAGCAAGGCAGAGGATAATCGCGAGCTGTCCATCGATCACAGGTGCCCCTACGAACATCCGCCCAAGCCACTGAGTGGTTAGTTCTCTTGACGGCGGTGGAACAACCCCGTCGATGATACGCTTGAACGTGTCAAACTTGTTCCACAGGCGGAGAAAGAACATGTCGTCGAAATCCGAGGTAGTGTCTGCTGAGGCGGGGATACAAAGTCAGTAAATGCCTCAAGTGGAGTTCGTGCAGCCGGAACTCACCTGGGACGTCCGTGTTGGTCAAGACAAACGAATGGATGTGCCTTGCAAGATCTTGACGATCAACAAGTGTGTCGAACAACAACATCAGGCTGGTGTATTGCTTGGCCGAGAAAGTGAGAGCTTGGTACAGCTGTGGTTCTGCAAGCGATCGATAGTACTTTGATGTCATCGAAAGGGCAGAAGCTTCCTTTCCGACTAGGTGCCGGATGATCTTTCCGTCCAGCTCGGTCGAGAGACGGTCCATGTTGGGCGAGCAAGGGTGAGAGACAGCTAACGATTTCTTGTATCGATGATACTTCTCACCGGAGAGCGCCTGATTGTAAGGTGTAGTATTGGCTTCGGAAGTCGTGGATGACTTGCCGGCGATGAGTCGCGAGAACGAGCGAGATGTGGTGACTGCGCGCCGGTGGTGTATCAGGATGAGTTAGGAAGCTTTGGAGAGTTGGCCAACATCAGTTTGCGAAAGGACCTGCGCGTTGCTAGTGGAAGGAGCGATGCTGGAAATGACGCACCTGCTGTATTAGGGGCACGGGCCTTCCTACACGTGCTCGCCCTCATGACTCACCTGGGCAGCAACGCGAGCACAGTGCAGACCGTCCAGGTACGCAAAAGGCGCACCGGAGCTCGACATAGTATCACATGTCGGATGTGAAGTCTTGTTCGACTGGTGCTCAAGTTTCGGTTCCGATGACGTCTCGATAACATCTCAACCAGAGTTCACCCCAGTCATGTGCTGTTGCTGGTGCCTAGAAGGACGAAAATATTTAAACACTCGCCGGTCGGGTCTCACCTACAAAGACACACACCCAATACGTTCTACACAAAGACAACGCACTCTCTGGAGGCACGACCCGGTCAAAACTTCTTCCAACCTCTCCGAACAGCCGCCTATCGACCGCAAGCCCCATCCAACGATGTCGCTCTCGGACCTTTCAACTGAAATCGACGAGATGATCATACAATACCTCCCGCATCACGCCCTTCACAACCTGACGCTTACGAACAAGTACTATCGCAAGATAGCAGAGGCACAACTTTACAGGAACATCGAAGTACGCAGTCCAAACATCCTCTCCGTACCACGTCTCCTATTGACTCTAATCAGCCGCAGAGAGCTCTCACAGCACATCCGGAGCTTCGCCTTCGATATTGCTAACGAGCAATGGGAAGCAGACCTTCACTATCTTAGCTATTACGATCCGAGCAATACCATCGAGAAGGTCAGTAAAGACCTCTCCAAAAAGTCATCGGAGGTACAGCATGCTCTCAAGGAACTCGCATTCCCATTGAAAGAGCCTCTGTTTGACGTGACGTGGTACTACAATGTGTCCAGAGAGATATGGACTATAGATGCTTCGCTGGCGCTTATACTCTGTCTCGCAACCAACCTCGAGCATCTTCGGCTGATGAACAAGAGTTCTGCGATCATCGAAACCGTCTGCCCTGCACGTTGGCAACGGCTCACCAAAAGCCCGTCCTTGGGAGTCTGGCCCTTGAAAAGGTTGAAGAGCCTAGATGTAGCCCTTGGAAAGGAAGCGTCTATCCCAATATTGGCACCTGTCGAGACCCTGAAGGTCAACGGCATCTGTGAATACTACAAAAACGGCGGCAACCATAACTTCCAATGGTCATACAGAGGATCTAAAAGGACCGCGGTTTTGCGCAACTTGGAACTGCGATACATCGATTTGCAGCCGGATCAGCTTCATCGCATGTTGGAACTACCGGAAATGCATGGTATACAGCACCTGAAGATGGTGAATGTCTATGTTGAAGTTCTAGGTGATTACGATCATCGTCGATTGAACGGACCATTGGCTGACTTGTTTCCGTCACTGAAGACTTTCGAATGGACTGGATATCACAGCGGAGAGTTCAGACCATTTGGTAGCTTCAGGGAACTCGTGCAATTGGAGGAGCTCACTCTCGGCTTCGCTTACATAAGACCAGGCGGTGTTAACATCTTTACTACACCTACGCATCTTCTGCAGCCCAAAGAGTCCTTTCCGGATAGCTTGGTGGCTCTCACGATCACAGAGATGCCGCGTGCATTTCTGCATGATCTCCAGGTCACCTGGGCGGCGTCTCCTTCGCGGAATTGTCTTCTTACAACTGCTAGGTCCCTTGGTCTTTCGAAGTTCGACTTGTATCTTGACCTGGAGGACCGGGTTGCCCATCCTTATACCGAATCGATCAAGAAATTTCTTGTCGAATTGGTGTCCGCTCTGAACGACGTTGGTACATCGATGCGAGTCTATCGGCAACAAGATACTCGCGAATCGGTACTGTTGTGTAGTCTGGGTTATGTAGCACGACGCGTCGACTGGGCTTGTCCATTGGGCACGTGGCCCGGATTAGGGTATATAAATTGGCTAGCAAGAGGGTAGAATGAATGAGGCCAAAGTGGGGCATACGATACACGAAGAGTGACGGGCTGCGGAGTAGGCTTCGGCCCTCAATTATACAAGTTGTGTATACTACAAGTAGTTTCGAAGAAATATAACCATAATGTTCACAGTACGACATGTTGCAGCGTGAAGCTAGTCGAGCATGTGTCTAAAAACAAATTCAATCGCTACGAGGCTGCTATTCGCAGATTGTTCATAATCATGCAGCATCCAACACCTAGAAGTTGTGCAAATAGTCCCCCACGAACATCTTAGCCATCATTCCGACGGCTTCGAAACTAACTCCGGTAAACTCCTTGACGTACTCATTGGCACCATCTCCAAGCTCTGTGAGGGTGTTTTCAACGAAACGGTGCTATGGTATGTTAGTAATCTTTGCCCTCTCAAACGTTCATTGCAGCTCACTGACCTGGTAAGGCCGGTTGTCCGTGTCGTGGAACACAAGGAAGCGCTTGGTTTGATCCTTGTCCTGTCCGTACTGGAACGACTCATCAACCGTCAGTGTAAAGTCTTCTCCGCTTGTCTTCTTCGATTTGAACTCGGCGACCTTGTTAGCTTGAACGTAAATGAGACCCTTGGCATCGCCTATTCATGATTGATTAGGCTGAGGGCATCAACCAAGGAAGAGATTGTACCTACCCCCAGACTTGACGGTAAACTTGCAGAGCTTGTACTTTTCAGTGCGATTGAACCAGTTCTGGCTCCAGCTGACAGTCATTCTGTTGCTCTTGCTGTCACTGAGAAACTCGGGATGGACGTAGATTGTGTCTCCCTTTTGGACGAGAGAAGGCATGATGGAAGGAGTCGCTGGAGTGTAGTGAGAAGTAGATGGTACTGAAGAGGCTTGTTGTAGGCTGCTGGTGAGAAGATAGATGGATGACAGGCGTCTTTATACTGTTCAGGCTCAGCTGTCGCGCCTTGGTGAACGAAGCCAGCTTGGGTATAAAGTCATGCCAACACCATCTTCCTGCCAGTCTACACGCGACGATACCAATCAACATGGTATGTTTCACACATGGCTTACTCTAGATCATTACTATCAGCCCGCTTGGACTTGAAGCGCCTGCGTAGCTGTCTTGGAAAACTCTAGTGCGATAAGCCATCGCTACAAACGTGTAGCCACCTGTGCAGGTTTCGGTCTTGTCCAGATGAGAGAGTGACAAAAAGGGACGAGGTTTGTAGACTGCGTCTCGGCAGCTGAACGCGATGGTTCTCGGGTATTTCCTCATCGGCCAGATGCCATGTGGCGGCGGAACGGGCTTGCATCCTCCACACCTGACAGGTCTACATCGTAACTTCCAGACTCGCATTTTCTACGCATCACCACCCAGCGCACCCCTTCGCTTGTGCCCTTGCATATGTCTACCGAGTCTAAACTATTTGTTCCTTAGCCTTGCGTGGCCCTCCACGTTTTCGGGCACCCCGCCTTCTCGGCCACCGAATGGACCCTGGAGGCTTTCCAGCCTCAAGCTGAGAGTGCCACCATTTTAGCACTTTTCAGCATCGCGCAGAGAACGAACACGCTACCATGCTCTCGCCTCGTGTCTTATGCGTGGGAAGATGTGCGCACATCACAGAAGCGGCCGAGCTATTGCGAAAGCGATCGCATATCGCTTCAGTCATCCGGATATGGAAGCGCGTCGAGGTTCGTTGCTTCTTCGGTCATTGTAGCTTTCACGTGGCTCCCGCATCCTTTTGTTGGTCGCCAAGGAAATCAACGAGCTGGGTGACAGCCTCAAACTTGATGCAGCTTGATGGAAAAGCCGTAGATGAATGGGGAGTAGAAAGAAGAAGACATCGCAGCCACGGCAAGGGCATGTTCGACCTCGCGATCTATCAGAAGCTGCGGTGCCGTTCCGAGGTCAATTTACTGTTTCCGGAACCGCAATCCTGTCATTTTGGCACACCACCACACCACCACTATAGCCACGAATGACTGTTAACGGCCATCTGAACTCCTGAGAACCGTCGCCTAGATGTGCGCATGTCCGCGGTCGTGGGCTAGGAACTTTAATGCCTCCTCTTCCCGCCCATCGGAAGAAAGGGTTGTACAGTAATATCAGTGGCTTGATTGGTGCGCGTGTTTAGAAAGGTGGAGATATCTCCACACCCCGCAACACCAAGACCGGCGCTTCTCGTCACTCCCAGCAACGCTGCTATTGCGCGCAACTGCCTTCCGGCCATCTTTCTGAAGACAAAGATGGGCTTTTTTAGAGCTCACAAGCATCGTTGTAACGTTCGGAGGCGCGCCTAGAAGTCACATGCTGATAGCGACTGGCCTGTAAAGGTCCGGAGCAACTTGAGAAGAGCGCGATGGCCGGGCACGGCTACTACCCCATGCTCATCCATGTTTGATAAGCACGTACTCTGTCGCCCGTACAATACCATGTCTAATCAGTCGCGCTACAGACCGGGCCGGTGCAATGCTTATCTGGAGCAAACAAGGGGCACCATTTCCTAATCACCTTGCCGGCCGATAGTCTCTAGCACCTGGGCATGCAAGAGTTGTACATAAAATAGAAGCGTATCATCAATGGTGTTCAGCAAGAGTTCTGTGATGGATTACTCGCAGACTAAAGACACCAAAGACGCCAAAGTGAAGGACACGGAGAATGACGGTGGTGAGGACATCGCGATCGGATCGCAGGAAGAAGTCACCGATTACGACTTTCTGCGATCTTGGAAATGGTCGACTTTGTACCGGAGCGTGCTGTTCCAGATGGTGATGTTCGGAGCGTAAGTAACCCTCTCAGAGACTACCATCAGGATGCTGAACATGAACAAGGCTTTCGTTGGTTGGCCCAGCCATGGGTGATGCTATATCCAATCTAGGAGGAGGTGGTCTGTCTACGCCATGGCTAGCGAATCTTGCAAATTCGTTGAGTTACGCCATGAGCTTCATCAGCACTATCTTCGGAGGCCCCATCATCAACAGGATCGGGATCAAATGGGCGTGCTTCATTGCGGCTCTTACAATGCCTCTCCAGGGATCTGCGTACTATGTAAACGCTAGATACGGCGTCGACTGGTACCTCCTAGCATCCAATGTACGATCATCACTCATCCACACAAAGGAAATATACTGATGGGGCCAGGTTATCAACGGTCTAGCGGGTGGGCTTCTTTACGTCAGTGAAACGACAGCCATGTTATGCTACCCAAGGCCAGAAGAGAAGGGTTTATACCTTGGTAAGCATCTGCGTGCGACCTGAAGTATGATCATTTCACTAACCTCTGGCAGGCATTTGGTCGGCTATGCGAAGCTCCGGAAGCTTGATCGGTGGCGCGATAAACTTTTCCACGAACTCAGACCGAGCCTCTGCTGGAGGCATTGCATGGGCGACATATCTGGTCTTTGTTGGGTTCGGTACGTGACGGATACCACGTCTGCTCTTGAGTGCACAGTTATTGACCAATAGCAGAATGCACTGGAGTTATTTGGGCACTGTCATTGTCCCCCACACCACGAGTGCGTCGTCGCGATGGCAGCAAAGTCCCCATGTCGGGAAGGGTCACTTGGACGCAAGAATTCGTTGCTCTGTGGAGGTATCTTCAAAGCAGCAAGGTCTGGCTGATCTTTCTGCCCTCGTTCTATTCTTTCTTCTACGGAGGGACGATGGGTACCTACCTCTCGCTACACTTCTCGGTCCGCGCACGCGCTCTTTCGTCTTTTCTTCTCCGTAAGTAAGGAATCTGAGAACCGCCGACTACATGCTGACCAGTACAGCTGCCATCACCATTCCGTCGGTTGTCATATTCGGCAAGCTTCTAGACAGCCAGCGCTGGGCCCAACGGCCCAAAGCATGGGTTGCATTCTCGCTGTGGATTCTGCCACAAACCGGTTGTTTCATCTGGGTCGCTTTCGAGTACCACTACCTCGGCAATAAAACGGCGCTGGATTACGGATCGTGAGTTACCCCGGAGAGAGGCAAGCCCTAGTGCGACTGAGACTAATTTCAACAACAGAGAAGCCGGTAGATGGGCAAGGGCATACGTCCCGTACCTTATCATCTTCACGAGCGGCTACTGGACGCAATTGACACTATACTGGATTCTCGGTACATTCTCCAACGACATGGGTGACTCTTCACGGGTGGCAGGCTTGTTTCGCGCGTTTGAGACGGCGGGCCAGGCAGTTTCCTATGGTCTGAGCTCTGCGAGTGGCATCGCTCCTGTGGTTCCGATCTATGTGAACTGTGGCTTGCTGGTTCTTACTGTGCCTAGTATGGTCATGTTGATCACTAGGATGCCCAGGAGGCCGTTGAGTAACGTCACCACTGAGTGAGGTTTGTGTTGTGTGCAACGGCTTTCAACAGAAGGATGGCAGACGCGTGTGGCACGAGTTGGAATTTGGGAAGGCGTCTTTCTTCAGGGCCCCGCCGTGAATAGCAATTATCAAGTCGTTCAAAGCATCTACCATGATACATGTTGTGCCCTCACGCTAAAGTTGTGTTCTGCTAATCGAACTGTTCTCCAAGACCTGTTCGCATCACTCCTTCTCCAGCACGCGAGCAGCCATTGCCGATGTATACGTCCAGTAGAATTGCTCGATCATCCCGCATCCGATGCAGCGTTGTTGGCGAAAGATAAGACCGGAGGGCTTTTCCAACATCGCAAGCGCTACCGCACGGAACAACAGCTTCTAGACCGGTTTGTGCTGCTCTGAACGGGTGTTTCCTTGCTGGGCGGCAAAGTCAACTGGGCCCTTATCGGTGACCGGCCCGGCGACCGGCCCGGTCGCAATTGCATAACGATCACCGCCTTGCGCAGCCACTTGAAGCCAAGGGCCAACGTCCTGGGCTTACGCATCCTATCTGTCTGACTAAAGTACGCAAGCTTACGGGTTGTGTACAGTAGAAGCGCACCTGCCCTGTGAATGACTAAGCGTGAGTACCTACATAGCCCATCTTGTAATTAGGACGATTCCGTAGAACTACCACCAATACAAGCATACCATTCACACACTACATCTCCAAAATGTCCTTTCCTGGTCCCAGCGTCAAGCCTTTCCCGGTGGCGGATGCCGTCCCCTCCTATTGGAGAAAACAAGTTGGGCCCATCGACAACCATCGCAGCACTGAACATCTTCCCACGCAGGTCGATGTTGTAATTGTTGGCGCGGGGTATGCTGGGGCATCGATCGTGCATCACATAGTCGAAGAGTGTGTGCGTCGCGACCGGCCACTTCCATCAATACTTATCCTTGAAGCACGCGAGGCCTGCTCTGGCGCTACTGGACGTAATGGTAAATATCATATGCCCTTGACATCCAAGTTAACTCTAGCACATACTAAGGCTGAGAATCTAGGCGGTCATTTGAAACCAGATCCTTTGTCAAGAGCGGCCAGCGTACTGGAGACGCATGGGAAAGCGGTCGCGGAGCATGTGGCTACATTCGAGGCCCGCCAGGTCGACGCGATCAAGGAACTTGTTCAGCGTGAAAACTGTGACTGCGACTTCGAAGAGACCAGGGTCACGGATGTCTGCTTTTACGAAGCCGGTCGCGACAAGATCAAAGCTGACATTGCGAAAATCGCTAAAGCGGGTATCTCAACTGCGAAAGGGATAGATTTTACTTCAGGCAGCGAAGCAGAAGAGGTATGTAGTGTTTGGAGACGATCATCTTGTTATAATTCGTTGCATCGTTTCGTTGGAGAGGTCTGACTAAGCCCGTAGGTTTCCGGCGTATGGGGTGCAAAGTCTTGTCATACATATAGCGCCGCTCGTCTGTGGCCCTACCGACTCGTAGCGCACTTGCTAGAGAAAGCGGTATCTATGGGTGTCAACTTGCAAACACACACCTCAGTTACATCCGTCTCGGCAGCCGATGGGGGCACAACAGATCATCATTGGGTCGTGAATACACCGCGCGGCTCCGTCAATACCAGCACTATCGTTTATGCTACGAACGGTTACACTTCTGCTCTCGTACCGGAGATGAAGGACAAAGTCGTCCCAGTGAGAGGCATAGTAGCGCGATTGGCGGGCGAGAATGCACCAAAAATGACTGATAGCTATATGATGCGATTTTCCGACTACGAGTACGACTACATGATTCCTCGGCCGGACGGTAGTATCATCGTCGGGGGCGGAAGACGCGACTACTACAAAAACTTGGACGAATGGTTTGATGTATCCGACGACAGCAGACTGATGGATGGCGCGCGGCATTACTTTGACGGTTACATGCAACGGCATTTCCGCGGGTGGGAGAACAGCGGTGCCCACACAGAAGAACTTTGGACCGGTAGTAAGTGTCATGTCTGCACGAACGCCTATGATCGAATGTTTTAGAGCTGACTCATCTTCTCCCGTGTTAGTTATGGGCTATTCCAACGACGGGTTCCCTTATGTTGGGCCAGTTTGCGGGAAACCTGGCCAGTATATGTGCGCAGGATTCAGCGGGCACGGTATGCCGCAGATCTTCTTCTGTGCAAAAGCCATTGCTTCCATGGTCATCACCGGCGATGCAGAGGATGTGGATCTTCCTGTGCCGTACCGCATCACCAGGACTAGATGGTACCAGCAGAAAGAACATGTGTCTCTCAAGATGTGGCAACAGATAGCGGAAAGCCAGCCTGCTCAAGCACGGTTGTGACCATGATATAAGACGAGTTGGGACCTGAATTGTCCACTTTTGCAATGCGATGATTCATCCACCAACTTTTGCATGCACTCTGTTGGCGAAAAGAGTTAAATTGATGCGCTTCATCGCTCATACATTGGCGGTTCTAGCCTGTGCAGAACGTCACTTCGGTAACCATGAAAGGCTCTCGAAGAACTCCCTCTCTGCATTACCATGGTCACCAAAGTCCGAGGTGAAGAACGCCTCGCTTCCATCCGAGTTGAGTAGATCGAAATCGAACGGATAGCCATCAAGGGGTACATAGCTTGGCATGGTATCCACTGTTGCATCGGTTCTGTTTGGTGCTATCCTTGGGCCTTGCGCCGTTGCTGCCTGTACATCTGCATGTCCGGATGCCGAAGGCCCAAAACGAGGGACAGTGGACCTTTCTGCTTTCTTATACCAGTTAAGAAGACCGTTGTAGCCCTCTTCAGCTGCATCATTTGCTTCCGTGACCGCAGGTTGACTGGGTAATGGATTGAAAACGTGAAGTCGATGCAGCGCAGCTTCCAGTGTCTCCAGGAGCGACACTTCTGAACGCGCGGAATCGCCCGCCGAAGCCATTTCTCTGATCGCTTGGAGACCTACTTGTAGGGTGTTTGCGAACTCATTTGTACGGTAACATATGCTATAGGCGATCAAGACCAGCAGGGACGCGCGGCAGGAACTATACTCGGCATATGACGACTTTGCAAGGCCCATGTCGCCCGTCTGCATGATTTGACATGTGCTGATAACTTCCTTCGCAGCCGCAACGCAGTCCTGGACCAAGAAGTCCCACTGTGAGTGGGACTCGGATGCTTTCCTCCGGCGTACCTCTGGGGATGCGGCATTAGCGTCCTTAGAATGTGCATTGGTCCGCGCGTGACGGTGTGCGAGGATGAAGGGTCGTCCGATGAACATGTGCAAGAGGCAGCACTCCAGTCGAGAATGGATCAATGCGCGGGCTTTCGGTAATTCTGCTTCGTGGTTTGTGGGTGGCGATAATACACCCCCGCGAGGAGGCGACCAAGGCCCTCGCAGATCCGCCTTCATGCGCTTGATACGGTCCAAAATCACCCCGACTTCAGCGTTCGCACATGTGCGGAGACACGATCTAGTAGAACATAGTTAGTTAGTTGTGTTCTATTTCTGTGCATCAACAAAGTCTTGGTCTGGACTTACATTTCGTGGTGGAAGGCTTCAGCTTGCCTTGTGAGCTCGATTGATTCCAGGAGACCTTGAGCATCGAAATGGTCGTCATTCATGAGGTGTGCTTCAGATCTCTGAGGTAGATCTGCATCGATATCGGATCGTACTATGGATATTGGGCGGCCGTGGTATATACCAATTTTTCTAGTAGGTCAGACCTGTGAGCAGGAGGACGAGGTGGTATCGGAGAGTCAAGAATCAACAAACCTTTCCATGCAGTACGCTGTCCACCAAATGCGACGCCTGATTTCTTTGGTTCTCGTATCGAGGACGTTGCGCGAGACCTTTCGGTGCATTCCGTTTTGTATGGCCACCTTGATAGCCATGTTTAGATAGATGTAACTCAGCCCAGATGCATCAATGGGTAAGGAATAAAGGCCGAGAAGCAAAAGTGCCTGGACGCTGAGTAGCGAGCCAGCGTGGATGATTTCCGAAAGAAGCTTTGCTACTTGACGGTAAAAGCCGGATCCAATCTCGAGCTCCCAACTACTCTGAACTTCGGAGTCCGTCGCAACACCCGTACTGTGAGTCTTGTGGCGATCGGGCGATTCTAAATGGACGTATTGGGTTCCGACTGCCAGCACCATCAATACTACACATATTGCAGTAACATCTTTGGAGCGTAGTGAGACGGGGTTGGTGTATATGTTGTCTAGGATGTCGTCAAACCAGCGTCGGTCTACATAGTAGTAGACGCTGGTGGCATGATTGAAGAAGACATTGGTCAAGAAAGTGGCAACCGGACGGGGTGGCACAACAGCAAGAACGTCCGCGATGGAAGTCGAGGCTGGATCCGCCTCGCCGACGCGAATGAAATCTGGTACCCGCATTACGTTTTCCGAAGTCTGACAGAGATGGTGAGTAAACAGCAACAGACTAGGCTAGCAGTACGTACCTGCACATTGGCTTTGGCCATAAGATCGTCGATATTGCGTTTGATGTGCATGGAAAAGTTCCAATGAGAGAACTCGCCTGAGTAATCTGCACAGCGACAAAAGCTCTCGTCAGTGTGCCTGAGCAATCACGAGGGGGTTTACGAAGCACATACGGACTGTCGTGCCATCTACGCGGTCAATGGTACAATCCTCGTCTCCAATATCAGGGCTGTCAGACACTTGGGTATTCGCCGACAGCTCGATAGACTCGGGTACGATCGCGTTCTGGTCGCGTGGTGGAGTGGGCGAAGACAGAGAATCGCACGTGCGTTGTAGAGACACGATATCCAGGGCGAGATTGGGGAAATGGTGTTTGATTATGAATTCCATGCAGCGCATGCGGTCCATCAGCTCATTGGGCGAGGCGGAAAGGCCCGGTCCTCGCTTGTCCACTGCAGCAGGTGCAACATTGTATCTACACGGTCGGCGCAGATGGCGACAGCGTCTACATGGTGTGCCATCCTCACATTTCTCTTTGAGACGGCGACACTCATCACACCTATGCGATGCTTGTCAGCCAAGACTCTACCTCGCGTCCTTCGGCGAGACAGTGGTGGGTCTTACGCGCGAACTGCTCGTTGTCGCTCTTCTGCCGCTAGATGACGCTTCTTGGTGGGTCTTGGAGGCTCGACGTCCATAGCTTGAGATGAACAAACAAGACTTGGTATGAGCTGAAGGAATTAGGTTGGGTTTTGAGTATGCGTAGTGAGTTCACAGCTGTCAACGACGCCCCCTCACTGAAGCGCGAGCGATAAGACAGCTGAATGACGCGCAATGCAGCGACGTTGAAGCCGTCCAGCCTCCTGCAGGAACGCTCCGCACAAAGCTTGTCCGTTATCGGTTAGTAGTAAGCCCGGCTTATCACAGACGGCGATACCCGCCCTTCACAAAAGATAATGGCGAACCTCGGGCAAATTGCTGGAAGCGGGGAAAGAGCTGGTGGAAATGAACATCCTTTACTAATGTCATTACGGGCTGGAATAGACGCAGTAGTAGTACTAATGTCATTGAGACTTCTCTACAATCTGCTGCGCCATCTCCATGAGACTTCCAGCCACCACCTCTAATTTCACATCACTAAAAACGTCGAGACAAGCTTCCTTCTCGTACACCGAGCTCCATGCTCCGCGAAAACCGACTTTGGTGGCCGCTGCGACATCCCACATGTGCGCGGCAGCGAACCATTTCACATCGTTTCCTCCAAATCGATTCCACACAGACTCATAGGCGCGGAGAGCGGGTTTAGCCACGCCTAAGTTGTCGCAACTGACAAAATTCTCCAGCGGCATGTCTACACCGGCGCGCTCGAAATAGCCTCTGACTCGTTGCACATCCCCGGTGGTGAAGCACCAGACGGTGAAGCCGTTGTCGCGCAGCAACTGGAACGTCTCCTGACAGCCAGGTCGCAGCTGTAAAGCGGAATAGCCTTCGATGCACTGTTCCCGCTCCTCTTCAGTGGCTACAGCCCGAGGATCGGCGATGCCACAAAGACTAAGGGTACGGTAGAATAGTCCTCGGAGAATGTCCTTATAAGGCTTGTAGCTTTCGGAGATGGACAAGAAGGTGAATTCCAGCTCAGCAGCTGTCTGCCAGGTGTACCCGAAGTGTTGCGCGGTGATGTGGTGATGGCGAAGTTTTGCACCCAGGACTGAGTCTATGCGTTCGTAGTAGGCGTCGAACGATACGCAGGTGCCGACGACGTCGAACACGACATGCTTGGGAGGCTGTGTCATTTTGATTGTTGGTGTGGTGTGTGATGATCAAAATCAAGGAGCTCGACAGCAGTTGACGCAAGATGTGGCGTCGCCCAGTACTCTCATGTTTTGCAATCGTGAGTACCTAGGTAACGTGCCAGTGGATGATAGAAGGCCGGCCCGGTCGAGGTGACTGCCGCAGCGCTCGGACCAGCCCCCTGGTAACCAACCGGGGTGGTTATCGATCGCGACCGGATCACGACCGGTTCGCTTACCCGGTTCTGCCACTGACACACAGGTACCTAGGTACGATAACGATGAGCAGTAGTTTGAGCAAGTTCCGGACCGGTATCATCGTCTCTCAAGCTCGAACTTTCTAGATCGAAGTTGTAAGCTCGATGGCCGGGCTAATTACGGTACCCGGTCGATTTGCGAAATAGCGGTGATGGAGCACAGGTATGAAAGCGTGTACTATGTGGCTTGCCTTGCGAAACATGCTCTCTGTCCAGCTGTAGAAAGTAGTCAGTCGTTCTCAATCTCTCAGCAATGGTTTTACCAACTGCCAACCCCACCAAATCCTATTGGATCGAGGCTGCAAAATCGCCGTTGCGCGACTTCCGCTCCAGCGAGGCGTTACCAGAGGAAACCGATGTGGCAATAATCGGCGGTGGTTATGCCGGCGCCTCGACAGCTTACTGGATCAACAAAGTTCGTGACCGCACCACAATGAGATGTCCGCTCATTAAGTCTGACGAGTAATTAGTACACAGAAAATGCTTCCAGGCAGCCTCATGTGACTCTTCTAGAAGCTCGTGACATTTGCGGAGGTGCCACCGGACGCAATGGTAATAACACTTGCATCTTGCCCCTTGGAGAGATATCTAATATCGAACAGGAGGACAATTGAGACCGCATGCCTATTCCCGCTACGCGAAATGGTCGAAACGATTTGGCCCCCAGGGTGCCATGGAGCTCATCGAACATGAGATGGCTCATTTGCCGGCATTTAAGAATCTGACCGAGGAAGAAGACATCGCGGAAGAGGTCTGTCTCAAGTTCGGAGAAACGTTCGATGCTGCCATGACCGATGAAGCCTGGACGAGGCTCAAGGGCGCACTTGACGCCATGCGGAGGGATCATGGCGACGATCATGAGATCGTCAAAGTATGCAGAGTGATCGAGGACGCACACGCCGCAGAGGAGTTTACGCAGATGAAGGGTGCTCTGGCTGCAGTGGTGCATCCTGCAGGGCAAATGTCGGTTCTTCTCGATTGTACTACTCCCACACAAACCTACTAATATCGTCTCAGATGGCCATACAAATTGGTGCACGCGCTTCTGCGCATCGTTCTACAGAAAGGCAATCTCAATCTGCAAGCTCATACTCCAGTCACGGATGTCTCAGCGCGAGACGCCGACGGCTGGATCACAGTTAAGACTGAGCGCGGAACCATTCGTGCCAAAACAGTCGTCCACACGACAAACAGATGGGCTTCTCATCTTCTTCCTGAGTTCAACAATCTTATATTGCCCGACAGAGGGGCTATTGCCGCGATTAAAGCGCCCCCGGGATTCATAAAGCATACTGGTGCCCAGCATTGGGACTCAATGGTCAACGTAAGGCTTACATATGCTCCCTTCACCATTGATGGCCCGCTGACGACGACAGAATTATCATCTCCAGCTCCCTCCACCCTACAACACCATCATCATTGGAGGAGCAAGGCAACTTCTTGTCCACAAGCCAGGAGATTGCTTTCCCAACGATAAAGAGGATCAGCAGATTGCCGGAGCAGCTGCATTCTACGAATCTTGGGGTGCCTCAGACGTCGCAGGCTCGCCGGAGGCAGTTCCCGCAGGACTCAGCAAGGAAGTCAACGAAGGCGGCTGCTGGACTGGAAGTAAGATATGTCATACCAGTGAACTTGAAGTACATTCGGCTGACTAAATAGTGCAAACCGAATCTGCAGACGCGTTCCCGTTTGTTGGTACGGTGCCACAGCGGCCGGGCCACTTCATTGCGGCCGGATTCGCCGGACACGGTATGCCTCGTGTTTTGGGTTCAGCTGCTCATGTCACGCCTCTTGTTCTGGAGTCGCTTGGTGTCGAGTACAGTCAGCCCCTCATTGCCGCTTCATTTCCTCCATTGCCTCAACCGTTCCGCACCACCGCCGAACGCATTGAGAGACTCCAGGATACGAACCTCAATGCGCTCGCTGAGGACTACAAGCAGAGATGTGAGGAGAGTGCGCAGAAGCCATTTTGCAACACTGCGAGGGTTATGGCTGTGCTCGGAGTTCCTCCTTCATGGGATGATGGCCAGCAGGTCATGGCCCAGCTATGATGTAAATGTTTGTAGCTTAGAATAAAGATCCGCGTATTGTACAACCTACTACATGTGCTAGCATATACTATCCTCTACGCTCGCTCATCGTATACAGTGACTTGTCAATGTCTTAGTGCGGTGTTGCCATAATCCACGCGAGGTAGTGCACAATCATGCATTGCTTAATTTCAGCCAAGATTATATAGACTAAACTTTGTCAAATTTGCACATACGACCATAGGATCTTGAACTCAGCGCTTCCCGTTCGCTCAGCGGTACTTAAGCAAGATACCGGCCTATTAGTAGCTTCGTGGGTGACCAGAAGCGAATCCAGGCTGTTGTATGTATTTTGCTCTTTTTGCTCGTCTTTTTTGCTGGTTCGAATCAACGGCGTTGCTCAACTCCTCCAGACCTGTTGTGAACTCTGATGCGTTGGTACAGCTTTTTGACTTGGTGAACACTAATAACTTCGAAAAGACATTGCTATGGCAGTCATGTGTCACAGGTATTTGACCAAAGGCGCATGAGATATTCGCTGATGGGTCACTTCCTCACTCTCGCTAAGAGTCCTTCTGTCATCTTTTATGCCCATGGAGAACCCAACTCTTATATACCCAGATAGTACTTTCCCCGTTCGTATGCATAGAAACTGACGGCCGCCATGGGAACAACCTTGACATAGCCAATCGTCAATCCCACAAAGAACCCTTTATAACCCCTCTCCATGTATATCCTCCTCGTAACCTCCGGTATACTAAGCCTGTGTCCATCGCCCACCACACCACCAACCTGCATGCGTCGCCGTATTACTTCCAGAGGATACGACACGGTTTGTGAAAAGAAGCCCGCGATACCGCCGCTCGTCAACTCAGCCCAGTACCGCAGTTGTGCGGGTTTGTGACTCGTCGTGCTCGATTCCTCGCGCGAGGTGTTCGGCAATGTGGTATACGGTGCGAGGACGGGTATGCGCAAGAGATCGGACATGGAGTCGTGGGCGAGGAAGGAAGCGCCTGCGTAGGGTATCATGCCGAGGAGCGTAGGCGTGAAGCCGCGGAAGAAGTTGGAGAGGCCAGAGCGCGGGGTGACCTTTTCGACGACGTGTGTCGCGGTTGCGGTGATGGGATTCTTCGGTTGCGATACACGTGGTGCTTGCTCGGCGTAGATCTTGCGCACGATAGTTGCGAGACTGCTACGGCCTTGCTCGCTGGTTTCGAAGGCAAGGCGCACCCGAATGACTTCTAGTGGATATGTGAGGAAGACGCTCATCATGCCTGCTAGACTACCCGAGAGGAAGCGTCGCGTAGGTGTTTCCTGCGCCTGGTTCTTTATTATGCGGCCGCGTATTTGCTCGTACGCGAGGAATTTGATGCCCGCGTAGGGGAAAATGCGGAGGAGGGTTGCCGAGTGGCCCTTGAAGAGCCCTCGTACACCGGTGCTGACGTAGATGTCGCGGATGGCGGTTGGGAAGCCGCTCCAGGAGCCGGCGTATTTGGCGAATTGGGGGTTGCGGGTTTGGAAGAGGATCTTGACGCGGTCGAGAGGGCCTACTACTGTTTTTGCCTATACAATGTTATTATCAGATCCGACCAATCTCTCTTCGTAGAGATGATTCTTGACA